CACACACAACTCGCTTCAAGAAAACTCACCTCAGCATATTTGGCTGGAATATCAGCTTTCTCCACACCATAGTGATGTTTGCAGTTTGTGGCTGCAGCCACTTGAAGCACCACCTGACCCACACCTGCAGGAATGGAAAAACAAACCTGAGAACAAGTTTCAGTAGAAAACCACTGCAAGGGGAGACAAGATCTTTTAGAGCAAAAGGCAAGAGGAAAAACACAGGTAATCTGTGGGACGAGGCCTCAGGGTACAATTTCAACTCCCAGTTGTGTCTCACTGTTCCCATATGAACTCCACCTATCTCTCAACTGGAAATTTTCAGTAAAAAGAGTTTACATCCTAACTAGAAAGTAAGCAGTGCAATTTCACTTTTCTTACAGAAAAGCATTTATAGTGTATAGTTTTCAGGTTTATATTTTTCGCTACATTGAGCACCTTTTACGATAAAGCCTAAGACTACAACACTTACAGCAGTGTTTGTATTGATAACTATTAATGGCTACTTTTATGAAATATTACAGGCACATTTTTACAAATTCACACAGGTTTCAGAATGACTCCATTTGACTTTTGTCCACAAATTTTATATGCATTGCATCAAATCTACAGGGTTTACATTGTAATTCACTATTTAATTAATTAAACAGTTAGACAAACCCTACCACATCCCAAAACAAATACCTGTTGGTCACATACCTATGCCATTAATTTAAAGATTGGCTAAAACGTTTGTCATTGTACTGCATTTCATGGTGAAAACCAGTATAAATATTGCTAGATTAAGTCTGAAAACATGTAAAGCTCATTCATATATGAGCTACTTTAGAAAATATCATAGGGCTCAACACTCAAAATTTCAGAGGCACCCACTACACTGGCAAGACTAAGTATGACTTAAAAATGCATGAACTTCCCATCACTCCAAATTCTACTTGCATCAGATGCTACCAGCAGTAATTAGCTGCCATTTCTACACCTTGCCTGAATGCATTCCCTCTCTCCCACCTCAGCTTGTGTTAAAAGGACAAAAGAAAATATATTTGTTAGATTTCTCTCTGTATGTGTGACCCACATTTTGCACACACTGGAGCAATGTCATTCCACATTTGTTACGACAGTCACTTACAATTTCCTTAAAACATCCGATATTCATCAGTAGTACATTGATGCATGACTTTCTGTCTGTGACAAAACGCATTCTTGTCTCACCAGCGCACTTAATCATTCTGCAGAGGACCACATGGGAAACACGAGCGAATCTAAGAGGATAGCCCATTTGCACAGAAAACATATTGCTGTTTTCCATTTCATTGGCTGCCGGCAGGAAGCAGCACTGGTAATTGAAGGGGTGGAACTCCTGCATTTAAACCATTACCACTATAATGTTGGCTGGCACAATGAGAACTGCAGTGCTGACAGGGGATTTTGTTGTTGGGGTTTTTTGGTTGGGTTGGGGGGTTTTTTTGCCAATTTCCATTTTGCATACACATGCATATTTCATACACATGCAAATATGGATGTACAAATTTCTGCAGGGCGGAGAACATGGACAACCAATGATTTGAGGGAGAATTGTTTCACTGTTTCTTATTTATGAAGAGCAAGGAGGACAAAGACGAAAGGGATGATGAAGAACACGCTGCATTGTCAGATATCACATGATGCGGCATAAGTAGCTATTAATCTTATCTTTCTTTGGCTTTTCTCTTTGCAAGAACTTAACTGTATTGTGATTTCAGTTTGCCTAATGACGGTGCATACCTCCATAAACTCCTGCCACGAGCCACGCATTCCTGGCATCGCACACAAAGCTACCAAGAACAGCCACAGCATCCTGGTGGGGGTTTTGCCCTGCTGCTCAGCCACGGCTGTATGCGTGTAGTTACTGGCCCAACATTAAATTTACTGGTAGAAATAATATGCTCTGACAGTGTTTTCATTTCCACTGAACTCAATACTGCATTGATTACAATTTACAAAAGTTCACTCCTTCAGTACAAACTGAACAACTATGTTCTGGTTTTAATTGTTTCAGTGTTCCAAATGTTAAAAGTCAAAGGCTTCTGAATTTAAAACATTCCTTTCAGACAGGCTTCTTAGACTGTGAATTTTTATCCTGTTCGTCAATCTCCAAGATTAAAGTGGGGAGGTTAGCAATAAATACCTGATTTTATTTCTGATGACAGCAGGTAAAAGCATCTAACATTTGAGCACGTTACATAATCGGCAGCACTACAGGACTTCAGATACAATCTTCTCTAACCTTCCTGAACAAACAATTGCGAGCATCTATGGCCATTTTTTTCTACCAGATGGAAAATAGTTTGTCAGATCTGATGCCTTTCTAAATGTCTCCTCTGAACATAAGTCATTGAAACAGGAAATTTCAGACATAAGTCCCACTGAGGGAGGAGGCAGGGGGTTAAAAATAAAAACAAAACAAAACACTGAAGATCCCAGACTGGAGATGTATTAAGTTTTGGGGGAAAATGGCAGTCTTGATGTATTTAAATTAGGTTTGCTTTTTAACAACTGAATGTACTTTAAAATATTTTTCCACAGAAGTCTTGTATCATACCAGCAACAAAACCAAAACCACGCTTCATTTAAAACTTTACAACCCATCTCTGAACCAGATTTTAGCAACAAAAAGAAGATCATCTTCTTACTCAGTACATCTCTTCCACATGTGTTTGGGTCATAATTGGTTTCTTTACCAACTATAAACATCTATTTCCTTTTAAAACTCTAACCTGTTCATGAGATGCAGTTGTAGGTTGTAAGCTAGATTTTGTGGGGTCTCAAGGCAGCTGTTAAAGCTAACTATAAAGTCTTTCTTGACACACTGAAAAGCATGTCAGAGGAAAAAAACCCTGCTTAATTCTCAGATTCCACACCGAGTGTTTCACACTAGCATGAGAAGGGTCAAGAAATCACATTTTCAGATATGAAGGGCGTAAACTGAATCCACTGAAAACAGATGAATCCTTAGAAATGGAACTGCTATTGTTATCTTTCAAGCATCATTTTTAATACTGTTTCTTCTTTACAAGTATATCCACCCATAGCAACAGAAACCAAGAGTTTTCTGTAACAAGGGGTTATTGCATTTGTAGGCCGACATTTCGCTAACACCACAGGGAAGAACATCTGGGATGTCTGTTTGGTCTATTTAATCTTGTCATAAAAAGCAGGAGCATCATTGGGGATTATCCAGAAAAGGTACTTACCCTGTAACACAATCCTTAGTCCTGGCTTACTTTCCAAATATGAATTTCACTATTTTTTTTTTAAAGAAAGGAAAAAACAGCAAGCAAAAAGAGAAAAAGAAAATCCACTTAAGTTATTGGTCACTTACCACTGCCCAAGTCAACAAACAAGTCGTCCTCTGTCATTTTAATTTCATCTATCATTTGGGCCACTAAGTCAAAGGAAGTTTCTCCGTAAACCTCTGGGGAAAAGGGCTCATAGTTGTTAAGTTTCTCTGGATCAGTCACTGAGTGGTTATACACTTGCTGCAGGATGTGCCGGAGGAGCCCGTTGGAGGGACGAGTGTTCAGTTTCATCGGTTGGGTGGTTCCTTTCCACTAAAGGTAAAGAGCAGGAAGAAGATATGAACCCAACGCAAGGACAAGTAAACGTCGCCAGAACAAGGCTGCATTGGCATAATGTAGAAATGAGAAATTCCCTCCCATCCCCTCTCTCACAAGCTGGTCTGCAGGGCTCTGTAAAGATAAAAATGATACTAAAGAAATTACACAACACCGATTGCTCTATACTTTGTCTCACCTCAACTAATAGGTAATTTTAACTATGCTGGAAATAGGTGGTAAAGGGGAAATTAAAGAGTTGTAAAAATCACTAGGCAATGTAAAGCTTTATACCAAGTATAGTTGGAGTAGGCGTAAGAGCTCGTTTACTCATTTTTTATTTACTGATCAGCACTCAACTGATGTTGACCGTACTGTCAACATAACAGCAGTTTTATTTTCTTTCGGGAACTGTAGGATGGGAGGGATCGTATGTACTCAAACAGGGAGTGGCAGGAAAGAGATGGAAATCAAGCTTCCTTTCTTCTTCAGAAAAAACCCTGTCCTAAACATAAAAGTTACATTTTAAAAATGTTTACCTCTCCCTTTGATAAGGAAAAACAAACAAACAAAAAAGGACAACTCCAGGATCTCTCCTAAAAATTCCTCTGTTTGAGATTCAGATGGCAAGAAGAAAATGAAACCAATCAGGCTTGCCATTTCAGACAGCAATTGCAAGTGCTGAATAGCTTCAAATCCTTCTCTATTAACCAGCATACACATGAAGACACCCGAATCCAATCAAGTACAAGTTTTATGGAGTTGTAGGCCCACAAAGTGAAGCAAAGCCTGGCAAAAATAGGCTTGTTGCCACAATACTGCACACTTCAAATAATTCCCACAAGCACTGCAGAGAAAAAAAATCCACCTATACTTTCAAAATTAAACAGAATAGTAACGTTCATTCATTGTTCATGTTTTGCTTCCTCCAATTCAACCTTTTATAGGGGTAAGAAAACCAAAAAGCTTGTTAAATTGGTCTGAAAAGAGATTAAATTCTAGTTTTGCCAGAGCAATGCCCCAGAACAGAGCAGTTGAACTGAGTGGTAAGCAAGGAAATTCCTAAGCCGTGGATCACTTCCACAATACACAGGAGAGTTCATATGGATTAATTAAGTACTCATAAGCCATAGATTTCCCCACGCAAAAGTAAATCTATATGATAAATCCCTGTGAAACATCTACAAGCTAAATGCAAAGAAATCTTTTCTTCCCCCTAAAGGTAACTCAGCTATTTCAAAGTGCCAAAACAATGATGCTCAAAGTGCACACTAAAAAGTAATATAGCTTACAAATCTGCGGGGGGGATTTTTTTTTTTTTTTTTAGAATGTCCCTCCAATACTAACTCCTTGACTGCCCAGGTGTGATCAAGAAAATAAGGTTTAATATCAGACTTATCAACTCCCCAAAAGAATGGAAGTGCTGAATACTGGTGATGCAACTAGACTAACACATACAATACAGCGCTAAGTCAGTCACCGCTTTCTGGATATTATTCACAATATGCAATTTCAAACCAGCTAGATAAACATCATGGCACATAACAAAGGTAAATACATACCAACTGATGAATGCTATCAATGGCTCGGTTGTACTTGTCACAAAGCCTCTGCATGCTTTCAAAGCTACGTGGGGAGAAAGAACACAGGGTCACTTTAAAACAGAATGATTTGAAGGTACAACCTTGTGCGGTTTTGTAATACGCACTCTAAGTAGGTGGCTATTTAGGGTTTGTTTCTTGCAGAACGTGTAATTAGGTAGATAGCTGTAGAATTTGTAGCCAATTTCCCTTAAAACAATGCTCCAGTAGACAAGGAGTACATGACAAATAATACTAGTTTCTTTAATTAACAGAAAAAGGACTGAACTCAAAGTGACTTCTTAGAAAGTTTTGTATTCTCATAGTCCATTACTACTTTTCCACATTCTCAGCTGCACAGGAATTTAAGACATTTGTAAATTTTTCATCTTTGTCCCATCATCTCTCCACAATAATCAGTCCTGAGATAAGTAGATACTTTTCTAGAAATTAACACTGAGACTGAAAATGCAGACAGACCCAGGACACAACGTAAAATTTCACCCATCAGAAAAGCATACTGATTGCTTCATGGGTTGGTCAGGATTACAGTCATTTCAGGCAGATGCCTTAATGACAGAAGCTGAGAGGATTAAATAAATTCATCTCAGGTCAGGGAAGAAAAGATATTACTAGGAACATCATCTGTTATGTAATCAGACCCACAAAGCAGCAGCAAAAAAACACAATCCAAGGAGTTACAGGAGTAAGATAAGTAAATCATGGCCATCCACAAATCAGGAAGGGAGCAGGGGACATCAGAAGAAAATGGCTCTTCAGTCTCTTGTGATCCTGATTACCACTACGTTGGCTAGGACAGCTCTCTGAGGAGGACTGCTGACTTCCACTTCAAGCTTTCAACTGCCCATGTTTAATTCCACGTTAAGACAAAGAGGCTGAAATGGGTTTTTGTCTGCACAGTGCGTGTGTTTCCATAGCCTGCTGCTTTTCACTCACCTCCATGTGTCAGTCTATCTGCTGCGAGTAATTTTTCTGATAAATTTTTTTCAAAGGAAATAAAAAGACTAAAACCATTACCAAAATTACAGGTCTATGACTCCCTTGAAAAGCTGCAGACAGGTAAGTGGGGCGTGACTTTTGGGGACAGATGGGTTTCTCTTTTATTCGGTATTGCTTCCGACCACACTGATGCTGCCCAATTAAACATGGCCAGCGAGGATGCCAGAACTACAAAAGTTACAGAACTCAGAGTGACTGCAGTGATCCACAAACCCAAATTAATGGATTCGATGACAAGGGATGCTCAACCCTGATTTCTCCTTCTGATTTTTTCAGGAGGAAGAGAGGGACTAACAAGTCTTGCAATGAAACAAAATGAAAGTGAGAGGAGGAAGCAATACCTTAAGCAGATCATCATACCAGTATCTGGTGCTCAGTACAATAGTCAGGGATTAAAGCAATGCAGTTTCATCTGCAAACCTCATTCTGAAAGTTTAGTCATGCTGTGGACTTGAACAAATTCAGTCTTTCCCACGAAAGCAACTAAGGAGGTTTTTGTAAACTGCAGCTTGAGGGTCATCTCTTTTTCCAGTCTCAGTACAGCCAAGTCAATACACAGAACCTCAGACCTCTCCACAGATATACCGCAGGTCAGAATCAGCCTCTCCCAACCTCAAGGTGAATGCCACATACTTACTGTACATTTGCTTTAAGCTGTTTGTGTAACAGGTATTCGCATGTAACTACAGGCATCTTAAAATTACTTTTAACCTGCCCAGAAGAGCAGTATGAGTAGCTTGCCTTTTAATTTAGCCCCCCACGCAAACAGCATTCCACCTGCACTGAATCCTAACCAGCGGAGGGATGGGGAAGGTTAACCTCCCACAGTCACGGCAGGCAGAGGACACAGCGCTGACATACAGCTCTGGCATGCCACTTTCTAAACAGGAATTCTTAGTTACTACAAAAGTAGAAACCTCAGTGCCATTCAGATTCCTAACACTGGACGCAGTCCAACAGCACAGATACCGATCATTGTTTCGGAGTGAGTAATTCCAACGTACACCAGAGCTCAACTTTTTGCTGCATGGAGTTTCCAATTATGTCCTTAATCCAACAGCCTTTGCCAATATTTCTGTTACACATTTCCTACCAAAATAACTCTGCCGAGTCTGAAGCCAGTTCTAAAAGAAAACTTCAGTTCATAGTGTCTAAGAATAACCAGTTACAAACTGATTCACTATAAACTGTGCTGGCCTGTCCTCCTGGTGGGAAAAAAATTATTCTTCTCACCTTTTTGTATCATAGTCAATTAAAACATAGTTTTCCATAGCAAGCTTGAGATCTGGGATTTCTTCACAGACCCACCTGGAACAAGAGAAGAAATAATAAATAAAAATGTCTCCAATTAAGTATAATAAGGCCATCTGTCTCAATTCTAGACTGGCATTGCTGTATATTAAGACAGAATACTGCAGCAGACCTGAAAGATCACAATATTATTAGAAGCAAGGCAGACATCACAAGATGCTAATTGGAAAGCTGCAATAGTTCGCGTTTGTATTGAATAAACAGCAAGGTGCCCATAGACATTAGCAGTAGTATAACACTCTTGAAATGGCACAACTTCAAAACAAGGTGATAAATGTATTCAATGCATCTAAAAATACTCAAAGCCATGGCTGATGCTAATGTAACATAAATTGTGATGCAGAAGTGCCATATTTCCAAAGAATTCTGATGCTGTAACAAGCTTTGACAAAGCTGAATGTGAAGACATTTCCTTCAGCACCCCAAAACAATGGCATCAACCATTCATTGCCAGGATAGTCTCCTCTGTCTAGTGCTCTAAACCACTCTTACACAACGCAACCCAAAACAGACTTTCAAAAGTTATTTTGATAAAAGATCCCTTTTACACGCTCAGTTAACAAAGCCCCGTGTGTTGTTGTCGTTAGAAATGGAAAGCGCGCACCCACAATGGCATCTCACGGTAGATCTTCACTTTTGGAACACAGGAAGATTAATTCCTTTCAAAGACATCTTGAAAGCCACATAAGCTTTGCACGCTCTTTCCTCCAAAAGCATCAAAATGGGAAAGCACTATCATCACCAGAAAACCTCAGAGCACGTCACAGGATGAATTCCAACAGGAATGGCAGAGTTTTTTCTTCGTGTACCTTGATGCATGCTTGACTTTTAAAGTGGTAGGAGAAAAAATTACTGGAGATTCAATAGTTCTGGTTCCTTCTGGCCGATTCACCCTTATCAAATAAATATATAGGCACGTAAAAACCAGAACTTCTACATATACGGCTGACTAATATCTCCCTTCTCCCTAAAAACGTTAGAACTCTGCCATTTGTTTTCTCTTAGATTAGGGAAACGGACAGTCAACAGCTGTTTACCACCGGTCTGAAGAAATAAATGCTTCTTTGCATCCTTTTACCCACCACTTTCATAACCACATTGCGGTTAGTTTGCACAAGGCAGCATGAAAGCCTTCTAATACTGTATCCACTGCAATCATGCTTAGAACACAGTTGTGAAACATTACTTTGGCCCAACTGCTTTCTAACACAGTTTTCCCCTTGCCTTCAGCTAGTGTAGCATAGAAAGCACTAGCACTGATAACTCTCACAATCACTTTCAGCACCACGTCTGTTTAAATCCCTTCAGAAAGGGTCTTCTCAATAGTCATACTGACAAATGATGCCACAAGTTCCCAAGGCACAGAACCTCATCAACAGCAGGACAAGTGAACTGGAAATAGCAGTGGCAGTGCATCTTGTATCAAGGTTTGTAGTTCAAAACAGAAATTTGTTTAGAAGAAAAATTCTCAGCTTTAGCCCCTCATTACACATTCTCTCCCACCACAGGCCATGGGCAAATGCTATGATTTCACGCATATAAGTGATATTATCAACACATACACATGCAAGCATTTAGGTTTTGCTGGGAGCAAACAAAGCTCACTACCTTTTCCTAGGTCATGTGTGACTGACCACATTTCAGCTCAGGTGGCTATGCAGAGAAAACATCCTTCTCTGTACCTCACCTGTATCTGCACCATCCAACCATTAAAACCGGCTGCAGATACAGCCCTCAGACAAGGGAAGCCTGTATGGTAAGGATCTAAAACAGTTAACAAGAACAGCTTTTAAACAATCTAATGCAGATAACACATTAATATCCCTCGGGTGTTTGGGGAGTTTCTGTTAGCATTTAATAAAAGTTGTTCTACAGCAAGTCACCCCCTAATCCTGCTAAAAAATAACACCAAACCATGTCATAACCACCGTCTGTATTGGGAAATGCTCAGACTTCCTACTCCTTGCATTTGTCTTTCACCTTTATCCTCCTATTTTCCCCACATTGGTCCAATTCTACCAGCAGAATTAAGAGGAATGCTAGTAGGGACATCATTCCCAAATAATGCAAATGCTAGCAATGCTGCAACATCACAGCAACAAGGGGAAAGGCAGAGGGTGGGGAAGAGGATATGCAAGACCAGAACTTAACACACTTAACCTTGCTTTTCTGAAGATTGCCATAAGCACCAGAAGTTTAATATCACTATTCATTTTTAATTCTGTTCAAAAGACAACAGAATATGGTAAGTTGAAATAAAGTCTGTTTGACAGGGAGATTTGTATTGCAACAATATCAATTCCGCTTAGAAAATAGTTTGGAGCTGCTAATTATAACTGCTGCCTTCCTTTAGATTTTGTCTCAAGACATCCAGTGAGGTGCAGTAAGACACAGGAAAGGGTTTCTAGCATTGTCTGCATTGAACACTTACCGAATTGTCTCAATAATTTCATGAGCAGCATCATGGTGTTTGTCCTGAAATAAAAAGAAAAGAAGAAATGCTTTCAAAGAGACATCAGGTGTGCTGTTTTTCAGAAAATTACAGGAATCACAATCTTTTTAAGAATATAGATGGCAACCATACTAGGAAAGGAGTCTTTGATTGCCACCCAGGCCATTAAAGCCATCAAAATGAGCCCTCTAAAAAAAAAAAAAAACAAACCCAACAAAAAACCAACAAAACCCACACCTAAGGAAATACATTTTTCAAGTTTTATGGACTAGCAGAAGATTTACATGAAGAAACTGTCATTCTACTTACTACTTTGTCATTTCCTGAAATCAGGAATTGTGTAGCTGATACCCTTGGGGATTATTGGTATGCAGTAGGTAATTGACTGCAAGTTCCACAATGAACAGCTGATTTCATTGACCTAGCATCTGGTACACGCTCACATCTCCGTATGGGCAGTAAGATTCTAGCACAGTGAATGACTTTCTAAAATAAAGTATCAACTAAACTGTAGGAGCGGATAACAGCGTAGAAAAAGAAAAATCTCACAGAACACACAAAAAAACCAAAGGCCTGAATATGCAGGCCTTTTCATGAACTAAAACCATAACCACACATGCACAAAACACATTAGAACTTGTGCTTTGCAAGTATACACTAGACTATGAGGCACAGATGGTTGTTGACTTTAATTCGGGAGTTTACTCAGCAGCACCAGAAGCACAAGCGAGTTTAGCAAGCCATTCCAAATTCATGCTAATAAAGCCCTTGGAGCTGCATGTATATGCACCACGCTACAAAAAATTCTATTTTAGGGAAGTTAGAGGAGTTCCTATATATATCATTGTAACCATCTTGTGAAGCCTTAGTTACCAGAGTCCATCTGCACACGAGGTTATATTTAGACATTTGTTTCTTGAAGTGGCTTTGACCTTTTAATTAGGAGTCTAGTATCTAAGGACCTTCCAGAGTTGGAAGTGTAAAGGCTCACTCACTCTCAAATACTTTCCCTTGTCTTCTGCTGCAGAAGTGTCCTTTCTATAGACTTAGCAGGGGGGAAATTCTATACCAAAGGGTAGGGACAGGCCACAGAAAGCAGAGGATTGGGGGCAGGGGAAGGGAGGGAATGGAAGAAGAGAAACACTAATGGACAGATGACAGAAAACAGCTGGGTTTAATTTTATTTCTTCAAGGCATGGAAGGACATAAATTAAATAGAAGCTTTTTCCATCAGTATCACAGCTTTCATATTTGCACAAAGAAACAGATTTCCCCTTGTATAACCAGTTTATATACTTAGGATCAGCCAGTCTTGTAGAAGTTTTCATTCCTAGAAACTTGCACACAGCCCTTTAGATACCTGGATAAAAGTCTCATGACTGAGAGGGATAGGAAGAAAGGCAAACATTTCTGAAGTCTGTTACAGTAAAGGAACGAAGGAATCCAATCCTAATCCTATTGGATTAGGAAATGCTCTTATGTTCAGAATGCAAACAGTTAATCCTATATCTAGGAATCACACGAGAGACTAATCAAAGAAAAACAAAAAATCCCAGTTGCAATATCAAAAAGGAGAAACAGCCAACATAGTAGTAGTCAGAACATTTGGGATTGAATACACAGTGGGCTAGAAGCAGAGCGTTACCTTGGTCATGTCTCATAACAATATGCCAATGCTATACAAACACCCTGAACATTGTAAGCCACGCAGAACAGATCTGGGGTTGTGCTTCCTCCAGCCTACGGCATTGGGACAGCCCAAACCCAACAAAAAACAACAGCACCAATAAACAGGCACACCCAATCTAAGTTCAGAGATGTCAGGTAAGTGACTCTACTGATAAATCTTGGCCTAGAAAACAGGGAAACAACCAAACTAAGATCTGATCCTGATTCTCGATGCTCATATAAAAGAAGAAAAAGTGTACAGGAGGAGGACTTTTCTTTCTTTTCATTTCTTATCTGCAAAGTATAAGAATAACCCAAGACAGTCAGCTCATCCATAAACATCCCCTATAAATTTTCACCTTTCGCTACACACAGAATTATCACAGCAGAAACCCCCTGGGCTGATCTAGCTCTTCCAGTAAACTGTGTCCCTCTATAGTAAGAATATGCTTTATCAACATAAGCACATTATACCGGAAAAGTGAATTCATGCTTATTCTGGCATAACCATTTTCTCTGAAGAAGTTCTATTCTTCACTGATGGTTTTGGACAGTTTCAGTGCTTACAGAACACACAGAGAAACCCCTTGTCCTATAGGTCTTCATGAAAACGCCCCTATAAATGACCAAAACTGCTTAACAGATTCCTTTGATTTGGGTTAAAAAGTGAAAAATAAATTTAAAAAAAAAAAAAAAATCACAATGCACATCTACAACTACAGATCATCCAATTTAAGCAAGTGGTTTTACTAACACAACCTGATGTGGAAACTCCAGCCAGAAGGGGCCCTTTTGAGTTTAGTTTGTGTCATTGTCTGGGAATAATGAAGTTGAAACCAGTTCCACATTTACTGCTGCTAAACTTCTCACGTTGAAACACTTACCAAGTTTACTCTACTCTAGAACTAACATACTCTGTCCAAGTAGACAAGCTCCCAAGATCTCATGCAAGTCTTGCAAACAAAATCAGAGACAATCTCCTATCATCTCTTCAAAGTGCAGGCGGCCATGGAAAACGGAGGAGGGAAGGGGGGGACAGATCTAAAGGAAATACAGATCAGTTTCCCTTTCTTTAGAGAATGCTTTTAGTCCCATTTCAACATTACAGTTGTAAGACTTAATAAGAATAGACATTAAACAGCACCAGTCATCACATCTGTATTCATGCAACTGTTTATGGCACTGATAGAGAGTCTTCAACAACTCAAAAGGCAAGCCAAATAGAAACCTCACCAAAACCACAGACTCCACTGCAACCAGCATCAGCCTCTGCCCATCACCCTCTCAAGCAGATGCACTGGTTTTGGCCAAACGCACAACTGAGCTTGGTGCGGCAGCTTTAACCCGGATCCTTTTGCAGACCCAGGGGATGAGCACTGAAACCTGCAGGTTGGGACGGACCGACAGCAATTCCTGACGGCTCTGCTGCAATCACAGCAGGCTGACAAATTTACACCTGACTCAGCCAACACTCAACTCAGGACATCCAAAGATGGCCTGAAGCTTCTTGAATTCAGACACCTATTCTTTATTTTTATACTTTTTTCAGTATAAAAAAGTGACCCATGACCAACATCAGCATGCCAGCTACACCTCTACTATAGGCACATTATACAAGCACGTCCTGTTATACTTTGGCAGTCACCTGTGAGTGCACAGTTTTACATTGCATCTGCATCTGTACTCACAGTAAAATATGCTGGTAAAGAGCCTCCTACAAGCAGACTGGCTATCAATCACAAAATACACTGTGCAGAAGCCTTTTGGACAAATCTCAAGAAGCCTATCTGTTCTGTCTGCAGTCACGAGATGATGCCATGGTGCTCTCTGTCACAAAGAGGAGTTCCATTCATCCTCCGACTCTGCCTCAAGCTGTTCTCCCTCCCTCCTCCCCTACACACTGATGTGAAGCATACTACGTGCTGTTCGTTGGCCTGGCTGTACTTCTGCAATGATCTTATATTTATGTAGTTTGAGGGGCCCTCGGAATCTTCTGAGCGACATAAATGGAAGCTATTTCATGAGACAAGACCTTACCTCTTTAATGTGGTCTGTGCACTAAGTATTTAAAGTAAAAAGTTGCAATCTATAGTAATTGAGAATGCCCAAAGCTATTCATAACAAGTTTATTAAAAAAAAAAAACCTAAACACCCATTAAAAGTTAGTTATTGCAGTTTATTCTCTCCAGCTGAACTTTGTAATAAAAAGTTCTTATTTTCAACTTAAGCATACGATTTAAAACTGAAACGTGAGCTCCCAAAGAGAATTCAATAGCTTTTGCCAAGACATTTCATTGAAAAATAACAGAAAGAAAGCAGACACTTTTTCAAAAATCACTTATAAGAGAATTCAATTTTCTATGGAAAACAGTGAAGAACAGTTTCAACCAGCACAACCGAACAGCTTCACAGTTCAGATTCTTACAACAGATTTCTCCATCCACATGTTACTACAACTCTGATCACAGGAGTTAAGAGTTTGGAGCCAGAAACACACCCACTGCTATTACTTTTAGTACAGTAGTGCCCAGAAGCCCTACCAGCATGCACGACTCCTGCTTACACACCGTGCCAAGCAGAGTCCTCCGACAGAAATCAGCCAGCCGCAGTAGCGGCTTTGCCCTTTAGGACACGGAGATTAGGCCATAGAGCAATTTTTAAGAATTCGATCTTTCCCTTCACCTCTTCTCCAAAATTTCCCATCCTGGCTGTTCTCAGTTAGGACCTTTGCCTACAGTTTAGGCTCAGCTCTCTGACCACGGGGCGGGGGGAAAGAAAGGAGAAAAAAAAAAAAAAAAAAAAAGGATAATGAATGTTTCTGCGTGCTTCAATGCTCAAGTCAGCCAGTCCTCTTTGTACAAGACATTTTGTATCTTGCAGATATGAGAAGCTCTATACGTGGTTTAAAACGCCAAATAATACAGCGTCCGAAAGCTCTTTCCAAATATGTATTTCTGTGCAATTATTTTCTACGATCACACACTCTTTGCTTGTTAACCCAGATTTTTTTAAAAATCATCAATATGACCAGAACTCGTAAGTTCTCAGTGGTAATCACAGCTATTACACTAACGCCTACAAGAGAAAACTAACAGAGTCCCAATCATACTATGCATCATAGGAACGGTACCAGACACATTTCAGCTACCTATACATAACTTTGTTCAACGAAACACCAAATTTCTAATAAAAACAGTTGACTCAGAAGTTTTTGCAGAACATTCTACAAGAGCAAGGTAAAGTGAAAATTACAATTTGTTACATTTTTGCCACAAGTTAGCTGTTATGAAGACTTGTAATTCACACCGAATATAAAGCACTACACACACTGCCACCGGTGTGACTGTTTTGGTTACATTATTTTTTCAGGTTAACATCCCTTAGGATATCTTAATGGCATTGTTTTGATATAATTCTGTAATCCAGTACTGTATCCTAGACTCTCAGCTGTATTTGTACAGGACTAGTTATCTCGCAGTGCAACAATTCGTACTCTAAAGTGAGTCTCCAACCTAGAGCAACAGATTTAAACATTTTGTGTTTTTTCCCTCAAACACAAAGAACACATTCAATTAAATTGGGCCGCCATCATTGCCTGAAGCAAGGAACAACACCCTAGTGATGTTCCAAATTCATATCATCATCTATTTCGGTCCTTCTTATGAAATTATGCTTAGCCTTGGGGATAAGCGTAAGTTGGGGCTTGGGGGGTGAACACTATTTTTCTAAATTTCATTTCCCCACATGCAAAGTGAGATCCTTGTGAGATCTGATCAGGCTGCGCCATGCTACACAGTAAAGGTAGCAAAAAGCCCAAATCTGCAAACCGCAGAAGAGAACAAATGGTTTGAAAATCTGGGTGACATCTTGGAGGGGAAAAAAAAAAAGGAAATATAGCTCATGTGCCTTCGATCAGTAGCTCTCAAAGCACCACTTTAAGACCCCTTATCTTCTCTTCATAGATAGGAACATTTTTGCACATAGCTTTGCCCATGACTAAACTATCCCACCACAAAAGCAATTCTTACCTTTGCAGAGCTAGTTTGGTGTTTGACTCACTAGATCACACTTCCTCCCCCAAAAACAGGCTAGGTGACCAAAGCAGCTCTTCAGAAATGTGCAAACAACCTGTGGTCAAGTATTTGCAAAGCAGGAGGAAGAGATCTCCTACAAGCTTTTCACTGTCCACCGGATGAATCCAAACAATTCAGAGAAAACTGAACCTGAAACAACCCAGTTACAAATAAATCAATGGCAACACTCGTACTTTTTAATGATTGTCCTTAGATGCCATTCAACTTCCAACACCTCAACCATGTAACACTGGCTCCCCAAGTACTAAACATTGACTCATGTTTTACCAGAAGTCAATCTGCCAAATTCTGATCTGCGAACGATCTATTTAACTTGCAAAACAAAAGAGGTCAATCTCACTAGCCTCTGGTTTCAAAGAACAGCTTGGTTGCCTGTAGTGGCAGCTCTCTCCCCAGGCAGTGGTCCATAAATCCAAACAAGAGGATGTTACAGCTGGAGACAAGATGGTTAGCAGAGATCAAAAAGATGGATTAGGAAAAGCCAATCAATCTTGCAGAAGACTAGTGGGACAAGCGCCTCTTTAATGTCCCCTAGGTTTCCTTCATCTGTGGAGGATGATAAGCATTTCTCTAGACACCAAGAAAGGCAATGTGTGCTACTGCAGCTGCAGCTTCCCCACAGGAACCAGGAAAGCATCCAGCACTCTGCATGGCACACGGATGCTCTCTCAAAACCACTGCCTTCAGCCTGTCAGAAGTTTGCGTTCCTCCTCCTCCTGGGGTTTAACTCCACTTACACCCTGTCTAGAAATATTCACCAGTACAGCTTCTATGTCCAGAGCATGTCCATATTCAGTACACCTGCAAACAGTGGTTGACAAGAGCCTAGAAAAAGCCAAAACCAAAGTCCTTCCAGCTGCTACAGTGGCGAAGAGCTGGCCTGCGGGCCAGC